AACACAGAGATATTTCAACGCGAAACGTGTATCAACGGCGAGATAAATGAATATTACATTTTAGTTGGAGGCACATATGAAACTTGCGATACAGTGCGATACTTACCTTACCGAAACAAGTTCGGATAGGTTTACTTTATCGCAGCAGTAACTTATGATTACCCCGTTCGGAACAAGTTTAGTACAAATTAACTTCTACCGATCTACATGAAGTAAAACGGATAACGATTGCCCGTCACGGAATTATAACGACGCTATGTTATACCTAAACCTTATTCTTTGTTACGACGTAGTCTCAATAATCGTCCACACGATGAATATCGCGTTTATTCTCGACCGATTTCTACAAAAAGTTATACAAAATATGACACGGTATCTGCTTATACAATATGCGATTAGAGCGTGTTATCACTCATAAAACTACGTCTATGTTTATTGCCAGTTGCGGGATATATATTGGTAGGAATATCTGTCGTAATAAATTGCAGAATGTCTATAAAATACATGTGTCGTTTACGTATAAACGATATCGGCGAAGACACGATATAAATAAACTTGCATGTACGCTATTGCAACACTGTAGATAGTCTATATGATTCAAAGATGAAAAAAGATCTTTTTAATCAGAGTGATAAAATCGTAGCTACTAATATCAGCAGTCAAAATATCTCAGTCAAAATTTTCCTAATTCTAATATGTTTCCATAGCATTGTGAATGTTTAATCACTCGGGAAAGTAAATTGTGCCAATCAAACGATATTTGTTAATTCAATTGCAGCTCACAATAGTTATATATCGTCTCTGCATATTGCATTTTATATATAGAGTTAAAAAGATATTTTTATAGAGATATATTTCTACATATTGGAAACTAAATATATATATATATAAGTACTGTTATAAAATAATTGCTTAAATTTTTGTATAGTATAAAATATTTATCTACCTGCAATCTTTAATATATGTATAAAGATGACTATTAAAAAATAATAATATAACTATTGCCAAATAGGAAATTAAGATTTCTGTAAAGACACGGTGTATACGTATATCGAATAATTTTAATTTGTTAAATATATGATCGGAATGATACAATACATTGACTCCAGATGAAGAACAATAATTTAGTAAATTGCTTAAATACGTTAAAGAATAATTTTTATGTCAATACATAATCGATTGACATTCATAAAATCCGTATCAATCCGTAAAATTTGTATCAAGTTTTGCTGAAGGGCGTAAAGAGGAAAAGAGTTTCCCACGTTCTACTTTCCGTATTACATCCAGAAAAATATATTTTTACAGGATGATTGTCAGGTAAGCTTATTGGTACTAATGAGCATTAGATAAGATAAAATATGATATGATAATAGATAAGATATGAAATTATCCCTTCGCGGTCCAAATTATTCTCCACAAATGAGAGAGAATTAAGCTGCGTGCTTAATTTAATCTTATTAATGGATCAATTATTATTATTATGTAATCATTAATTATTATTATTATCAATATTGAAGGAATATATTTATGAAGAAATATTTCGAAAAAATAATTTACTGATTATAATCATACATTGCTAAGAATGCTTGGAAATTTATGCGGAGAATCACTATAAACATTACGTCATGTCTAGTCATGTCTCGACATGGGACTAAATTAGAGGAAAAGAGGAATAGTTAAATTAGTGAGAAGAGCAGAATAACAAAAGGAAAAATCCAAAACATAATAAAAGAAAAAGCAATATAACAAAAAACATCTAAATTAATGTAACATTTGTCATGTAACAAATAAATTTGCAAGCATGCGAAATAATTTACAAAAATTACATAGCGTTTTTCTCTCTTTTTAAAGCCACACATTTCGGAAAACTATTCAATCGCGCGTTGGAATTATTCAAATTGCGTTACACCATACAAAGAAAGCACAAAGTAATTATTATGATATTATAAATCATCTTTTTACTGCAATCCTGCGCTGCAATCACTTCCAAACAATTGTTGTAAGTGTGCAAAAAAATATTTTACGTATGATATGTCCAATGAATTTTTAATCGTATATAATCGCGCTTAATCGTATATAAGCAGCGTTCAATAAATAATTACTCCGAAAATATATACGAATTAACTTACAAATTACTTAACAAATCCTAACAATCTCGATGATACATCGAATGAGTTTCTTTTTTTCTAATGGATCGGAATTGAAGATGTGTAACGATTAATCGTGAATAACGAGTGAAATCGCAAATGATAAAGCGTTTCAATCGATAGAATATCTTTGAAAGTACATTCTAGCATTTAAACAACGCGCGAACAAATTACGTAAAAGAAACTTATGATTAATGTATTACGGAGCAAAGGTGATTATTTTGCGTTTTTATAAAATCACTGACAAATCTGTAAAATCACCGGCTGTGTATCAATGACTATAATAAAAGTCGCAAAAGAATTTAACTCTATAAAATATAACAAACAATTGACAATTTTATCGAATCAAAGTAATTTCGTACATTTGCTTTCATAAAATCATCAATAATATCTCAAGAGAAAACACAGTTTGCAAAAGATGTTTTAAGATTCAATTATCAATATAATACGAATACTTATCAATATCTAGTGATTTTACACAATTGCCTAAAATTTTATAGAATCGCTTAAACGCCATAACATGTATGAGGTAACCATCGCACTTCCGACACATGCTCAGAGATCAGTCACGGGTCCCGATAAATTTATATTACTATCGATCATGAGCGAAGCCTTGGAATCGCTCGCGATCGGCGAATCTTTATCACTTTTGCACGCGTCCGATTTTCCTTCGTGAATATCAGCATTATTGTCATCGTTGTCGTTCTCATCATCGTCCTCCACTTCCTCCTCATCCTCCGACGATGATGACGATGATAATGCCACTCGACTCATCGATTCCTTGTCCGGACCTTCAGGAATGTGACACACTTCGGAAATCAGAACGTCGCGAATCCTGCTTATGGCTTCCGTGGGACCGTTCACCTTTTTACGCAGTATCTTCACCAGCTTCTCCATTCTGATAAATTATGTTTCATGTCACGTTATATTCATTCATGCCGGCTTGGGTGCCATTCTTGCACCGTTAATTCAGCCAAAGATGTAAGAATCTCTTTAGAAGCGAGCAAAGCGAAAGTTTCAGCGAAAAGCCATGCTGCAGGCTAAAAACAGAAGAAAACGGCGCGAATTCGGTGCTTGCCATCCAAACGAGAGGTGTGCTAGGAGAAATCTTTCCAAGAGATGATATATGATGAAGGATCTCCGAGGAACAGAAGGAATATCATGCAAGCAGGATTGCATTCACGATACAATTTATGCAGATAATCTTGCGTGAAATGGTCTTGATTGATCTTACACGAGATGATCTTGGGAAAAGATAGTTCAGCAAAAGTTCACACACACACAATCCGAGTTATTATATTATCATAATAACATTGCAAATAAAATACTTGCAACTAAAATGCAATTAAAATATTTTATTGAATCGGCTTTTCCCCTAAATGATTAGCGAGTGAAAGAAACATACTTTTGGTAAGAATTTACCTTTAAATTAAATTTTTCGCTAAAATTTTTATTATAAGAAATTCCTCATTAACAATTATCTTAAAAATAATATACAATGAAATATATATATTCTGAATTAAAATTATATATATCATATGTATTGAATCGAACCTGAATTACACTAAAACTTTCTTATTCTAAGAAAAGAAAGAAAGAGAGAAAAACAATTTTTAGTAAAAACTTTAACGAAATTTTAAAAATAAATGATTTTTAAATGTTTATACAATAACATATAATTATATGATATGTAAGTTATAACATAAATATAAATTCGAGTTAACTGAAGATTATTAAACGTAAAATTTTTAAATCATGCAGAAATTATGGCAATAGCAATTATTCCGCCAACTTTTATATCAAACTATATTACAATACATAATATGGCACAATATACATATATACACATACACAAAAAAAAATATATAAATAAAACTAAGATTGATGAAACTAAAAATAAAACTAAAAATTTATAAAATTAAAAAAAAAACATAATAATATATGAATAAAAACATGCTGTTAAAATTCTGCTATAACAATCAGGCATTTAATATTTAACATTGATATGATTAAGATATATTCTACAATTCATTAAAAAAGTATTTATTATACATATCTGCTTTTTACATATATTTAATGCATATTTATAGCTATCTAGATAATTATAGCTATCTAATAAATAGCCAGATACACATGATAAATTAATCATGTATCAAAATTTATATAATCATATATATTTATATAACAAATAATGATAATACAAATTAAAATGTCTGCATACTTAAATATCAGCTGGAGCAATTGCTACGTCGATCTAACAAAAAGCTATTAGTCATTAATATTAATTATTATTCTTTACCTTTCTTTCCGTGAAAAAGAATATTTTACTAAAGTAAAAAGATAAAGAATATATATTGGAATACAATTATAATGGAATAAAAATTGCCATCTTCAATTAGCAGATCTCTTTCTCTTTTATGCAACGCTATAAAAACAGTGCTGCAAAATATCACGGATATATGAATGAATTACGTTATCCCAGTGTCATTAATTAACTGTATAAACATTATTTAGACAAAATATATATATTTGAAATTATAAATTGTTATCAAGTTATTACAAAAGAAAATAATCAACTGCAGAAAATAAATTTCAGACTTGAAAAAATACATTTTCTAAGTAACTTGTATATTATTATATATAGTTTACCTATTTTTCTCCGATATTGGCATAACGTAATTCCCCTGAAGCGTGTAGCGTAAATACGTCGAGCGTGTACGAAAAAGCATGCATGATGAGTGAATAATAGACCTACGTGCTATTCGACATGTACATAGTAGTAGCCTCTAGTAAAAAGCCCCTTGAAGCCCCCGATATCGGCGACGTGAGAGAATAGCGTGATATTGCTCTTTATTTTTTTTTTTTTTTTTTGCCGGGGCCCCGCGCGTACGTAACTTAGATATAGGCGGTGGTGTAGGTGGCACGTGAAGGTGCTCTTTGGGTTCTGGAGATCGGGGTTGTCGAGCAGAGGTTTTTCGGCACGATGGAGCCACCACTGACCACAGCGACGTCCGGCACCTCGATAATGCGATTGTCGTTGCGAGAGCAACAACCTTCTTCATCCTCGCTCATCGTGTCGCGACTACTGGCCCCGATCGTCTCTTTCGAGGAGCACGGGGGACTCGTGTCGACCTTGATGTCCTGGCGCGGATTCTTGTCGGTCTCGCTGAATGATCTCCTCAAGTTGCCGTTCCTCCGTCGCGGTTTCTTAAAGCTGCCTCGTTGATTATGAAACGTGCACATTTTTTGCCAACTCAGGTGATTAATCGAGCTCTTCACTTTGCTCGTCGTGTCGCTTGGTAAATTTTTCTGCTCATCGAGAACGCTCGGCGATGCGAGGATTCTTGCTTCATCCTTTTCCATTACCGATGTCATCTCCGCGTTCGCGTATTTCCCTCGAGGTTGATCGCCAATTTGTTCCTCCGACAATGAGCTGTCAGTCGTCAAGTGTCTCGTTTCCTCCTCAATTAATTTTACTTTGCCATCGCTTTTTTCAACGATACACGCTTCCTTTCGATTGAAGGACGCCGGATAATCCTTCAACTTCGACGAAATATCTAAACGAGTCGCGATATTAGCGAGTCCTGAGTTCTGATTTCTGATCCTGTCCCGAGATTCGATTTCAATCGCGTTCACGGTGTCTTCATTCGAGCAAGTCAGAGCGGTTTGACAGGGCGTCGAGGTCTCGGAACACCGCTCGTTTTCGTCCTCCAACAGTGAAAAGTCTTGCGCGAGATCGCGAGACACTGATCTGGATTCAGAGTTTCGACAATAATTCGCATCTTCGGAGACGAGCAAAAGAGCCGCTACCTCCGCAGAACGGGAACGTAGGACGGAGGAAGTGTGCGACGAGATTGCGGGCGGGAAAACGGGGGGTAAGGAGCAAGTGTCGGAAAGAGCGGTACGCACGGGGGTGCTGGTTATACAGGGCGTATCGAAAGTTACACGCGTGACAGATGTGGATACCGCAAAGTTTACGCACTTTGCCGCGTGGTTCTCGGCCAAGGTCCTGGACGCCCGCGCCTCCTGGAGCTCCCGTCGCAGCGCCAGGGTCTCCTCCTCGAAGGCTGCGATCTCGCGGCCCTCGTTGCTAATGCGAATAGAATTGATTTTTTTTGTTTTTACCAAAACTTTCACGTCAATCGTGGACACGGCGAGTCGATTCGGAATTATGAGTGTGAATTAGATGTAAATTATATTTCAAAGACTATGTTCGTCCAAAATGGAGCGAAAAATGTTAAAAAAATAACATAACATACGATCAAAATGAATCGAGAGAAGAAATCATCGTGGATAGCGATACAAAGACTTATTCGGAAGTGAGAACGTTTCACCATTTATCACGGCTTTCACTTGCATTTTATCTTAGCTACATGATTTTAGAAAGTTAGATTATCACGAAGCTATTGCCAGATATATTTTATGCGATACATTCGAATTTTCAACAACGTTCAGTAATAATAAACGAAACAATGGATAATGTTGCAATGTACACGGTTTATTAGGTGATAATTACTTGTAAACAATTTGTCGTAAACAAATATAACGAGAAAGATTATATCTGCCCCTATGTGCGAGAATCATGAGCGGGGAACGAATATAATAAATAGCGATTAAATAAATTAGAGGCAATTACGGGGAAATAATGCAAGATTAAAATCGAGTTTTTTGTTCGACGATCTTTATCAGATAGCGAATTCTCTATGCATTATAGCGCGTTTCAAAATGTATATACATCATCCTCGAAACAGCGTCGAGGATACAAAACGAATACGAATAAGAATTAAAGCAAGCTTTTAAATATTTACAAAAGCTAAAAGGCTTACTTACGTCGCGCTCAGCTTCAACGCTGCCAGTTCCTCCTCCAGTTTCGCGACACGTTTATCACTTTCTTCCTTTTCTTTTGTCAACTTTGACAATTGGTCCTGTAACAAAAATAAATATAAAAAATTTTAGTAATTTTTTCAAAAATCACACAACAAATAGAACTTGATGATAATTTGTTATTAAAGAAAATGCTTTGAAAAAAGCAAAGTTATCATTATTTAGATGATCTAAATTCCTAGACAATCGTAAGATAACACATGAGTTCATTGAATAGATTAGTCAATAAGTTCATGGACATTTCTTGAAGAAATTTTTATCAGAACAAATAAAATCGAATTTATCTTCCTAATCATGATACATATGTACCTTTAAAAGTTTTATCAAAAGTTTGTTTTCATCTCTCTTACTAAGAATCTTTTTATTACAATATCAAATATTTATCGTGACAAATATAATATTATCTGTATATTGTAAATACATAAACTTAATTTAATTTTAACTTATGTAACAAAATTAATGTAAATAACTGTCGAGTATAATTGAATATTTTCCCATCTATTTAATCACTTAAATCACTAATTTTCAAGGTGTTTACAAATAAATCCAACACGTTCATCAGTGTACATGTGTGTATATATATATATATATATATATATATATATATATATATATATGTTTCTTAATAAGTGCGAAAAATTTTAGATGATACTTTGTCAAAAATTAAGGGGGATTTTTCATATAAACATATACTCCTACATCTCTCCCTGTGGAGTTACACTCCTCCATAAATGGGGATAAAAATTAGGTTTTTATTCTTTAGGTTCTTTTCTCAAATTTAGAACAAGTTAAAGAGATGAAATTAGGTGGATATCTACTAGTAAAAAAGGTCATTTATTAATATTTTTTCCAGCTTTCTGTATTGTATAAGGGGATGAAACTAGCAACCCCTATTCAATTTTTTATTAGAACTTTTTAATGTTTATATGAAAAACCCCCTTAATTTTCGACAAAGAATCATCTAAAATTTTTAACACTTATTGAGAACACTCTTTATATATATATATATATATATATATATATAAATAAAAAAAAAAAAGCTATAGGAGTTCTGAAGCAACCTTGATCGGCTCTCACGCGCGGTAGAATTTACATGGACATGGAGGGTCCCGGAGGTTCAATTACGAGATTGCCAATATGCAGGCGACATGGCGGTGGCGGCCATCGCTTCGGCTGATGAGGCTAATGGATGGTTGAAACCCGAGAAGACACGGCAAAGAGGAAAAAGAGGCCAAGGGAGAGGCCCCTGACAGCCGCTAAGTGCGCTCCGTCCTTCTCCGCTCTTCCTCGTCTACCCGACTGATGCTCCTTCCCCTCTTTCATCCCTTCACGGTCCCCGCCCCGTTCCCTCGTCTTCTCTTTCTCTCTCTCTTTTGCCTCTGCAACATTGCCCGCGCTGTGGATGCCCTTATGTGAAACCTAATCACTTTTAGCGCGTCACGGATATTTCGTATTATGTCTACATTGCGTTCTCCGGTATCGGCCGACTTTATTAGCTGTCTCTCTCTATCTACGATTTGAACTTTGCCTCCTCTCCCTTGTCATCTTCCTTCTCAATAGTCAAGTCGCACGTGTAATAAATTATAATCGGTTAATGCGTTTCTTAAAACAAATCTTAGAATATCTATAATTTTTTGAAAAGTATCAAAGAAACTCTTTATCTCTCTCTCTTTTTCATGATATCTTCAATTAAATTTTTTAATCTAGTAGAATAAAATAATTGTACATTTAACCAATATATTTTTATATTTGATTTTATATTTGTCGCAATGTGTTACTAAAACTTGAAAATGTAATAAAAGATGATTATATGTTTGTACAGTTATGACGAAAAAGCACAATTTGTATTAGATAACATTTTTCTGTCTATGTTGTTAAGTTAATACACATATGCAAATGTATGTAATAAAAGGCACATTTGCATGTTTGTGCTAATATGTACAATACACATTTTAACGCATATCACGATTATTTCATCAAAATAGCAAATAATATGTTACAGAAAATTAATTCTCTTTTAGATACATATGTGATTCTGATTTATTCACATACATGACTTTCTGTTGGTAACAAACATTTAATCCATATACATTGTGACAAAAATAAAAATATAAAAAAAACTTGTAATATCTCTTTTGATGATAAAAACATCAACTATTAAAAGTTCTTGAAAACAGCAAAAAAAGAGAAAGAGATAGAACAGTAAAGCACATAAAGAATAGCATTTCATAAAAAACAACTGGGATTGATTTAAAGATAATTGACAAGATCATATAAATATAGAAATGCGTAAATAAGCGAGAAGAAAATCAATTGTATGAATATCGCATACGAACCGATAAGCGAGAAAAGGAAAGTTGGAAAAAGGACCGATAGATACCACAATCACCTGGCTGTCCTAATCAAACAGAACGCAGAAACGTCTGTACAAACATTACGTCCATGATCGTGACCCGAAAGAGCGAGTGCCGAAAATATTGAACCGAGTACTCATATTACCGTATCTCAATCGCAAGAAGACACGAGCGGCATGAGAAAAAAAAGGGTTCTCTTAGTTCTATTCTCGCTGCTTTTGTTTTCTATTCCCACATTCCCGGAGCCAGTCCGATGACATCTCGATTATCTAACTCCAACTACAATCTTTTGATAATTTCAATAATTTATAATTCAAAAATATATATCCTCATTTTAGTAATAATCAGATTAATAATGATAATATTTTCTTAGAAAGATAAAGAAGAGAAAAAAAATAATATCTAATCTTGGATTTCAAAATTTTATGTGTAATACTATTATACTTATTATTTTAAATAAAGTATTATTTGTAATAAATAAAGTATTATTTGTAATAAAGTATTATTTTTTGACTAAATATAATATTAGAGAACATAATAGTAAATTATACAAAGATATACCTATTATATCTAGTTCAATAAAAATGTAATTATTTTTCTTGATTACATTAATTTAAGAAAACAAGAAAAATATTTAATTATATTGCAACCAAATTTGTCTTCTTGTGTTTGAAAAAAATTACATGATATATAAAAAACTTATATTTATTTATATATAAAAATGTTTTTAATTTTCAAGTACGTACCTTAAGCTCTTCCACTTCTTTTGCTTGTTGGTGATATCTCTCTTCCAATATAATCTTGACTTTTGTAACTAAACCTTCTTCACAATTTTTATTAGCTTCTCTAATTTCACCTATAAGTCCTGAAACATATAATATATAATTTATAAAAATATATAAATATAGTTTATCGTGAAATCATAATGTAATTAATTGTTCTATATAAAAAATATCTTATAAAACTAATTACTAAAATGATATATATTAATTTTATATATATATATATATATATATATATATATATAAAATTAATATATATCATTTTAGTAATTAGTTTTATAAGATATTTTTTATATAGAACAATTAATTACATTATGATTTCACGATAAACTATATTTATATATTTTTATTATATATAAGTATATAATTACTAAAATCATATATTTACTTGATATACTATATATATGTGTGTGTGTGTGTGTGTGTGTGTGTGTGTGTGTGTACACATAGTTTATATACTAGGTAGATAATAATATAGGTGATTATAATTAGGTAAATATGATATAATTGTAATGTGATTCTGATTTGTGTGATTATATACATTTATGTATATGTGTGTGTGTGTCTGTACATATATACATATACATATATATATATATATATATATATAATTACTAAAATTATATTTACCTGATAACATTCCAGGTTGATAATCTGTAGGAGTATTGTGTTTACATTGTGCTAATTTTGCTTTTATATTGTCTACATTTGATTTAGTTTCACTGAGTTCTTTGAACAATTGACTGTTGCATTTTTTTAGTTCTGTCATCTGTAATATATTTGGAAAAAAAATATATTAGTAAACACATGAAATATATTTTACATATATGGTTAAAATTTAATATTATATAAATTCAATATTATATAAAAAATATTCTATTAAATATTATATAAAATATTCTACTGAACTGTATAATCATGTCTATGTTATATTTAAACAATATTATGTTTAATTCTAATATATATTTAAATGAATAAAGAAAAATACAAACCTGTTCAATGAGTGATAGGACAAGCTTATTACTACGGCTAATTGTTGTTACAGAACTTCCACTCTCGATACTATCGGAATCATCAGAATTGTCTGAATGAGATGAATTCTCAGGAGGTCCCAATCCAGGATCTGAATATCTCCTTTGTTCTGAATTCAGTTCATCGCTATTGATGCCACTATCTTTATTGGCGGTGGATGGTAGACTGGCGTAGTCTCCATTTTGATGAGCAATATACACAGTAGTCTCAAGTCTTCCATTTTCCTGCAGACTACTATATCCGTTAACAACATTATTATTGGCATTAGGACAAACGTTTGCCAAATGCTCGTTGCAGTGACGTCTGCGTCTACTGTGGACAGTTCTAACGTTCGGCACCGGCATCGGCTGATACATCCTATACATTGGTGGCAGTGAGACGGGCTGCATAGTGTACGTCACCGGCAGCGGTGAATAGCCGCAGACACTCGGATCGGACATCGCGGCGAATAGACGTTGTCCATTACCCGCCACGTTTTGCGGCACATTCGCCGACTGCCACAGCATCTGCGTCGGGTACTCGACATTCGACACCAGGCTGCCATCCTGCTTATTCTGAGGACCGTTCCAGGTATCCAGTACTGTATCCAGGGGATTGCTCCTACGACTGGAGCGTCTTTTACTCTTCCTCGAGGGATTCTGGAGTCCTTGACGCGGCGTTCCTGACGATTCTGACAACCTGCATAATTACCAATCATTCTGTTTAGACAAAAACATAACCTCGCGACGATGCGAGCCAAAAGGAGCGTTACCTCTTGTCCATCCTGGCGGATGATTCGATCCGCATCAAGACCCAGCTCTATGAGATTGCGTGCACAACATCCGCGAGACAGGGATGAGTCGATCCGATTCAATGTCCGTTGCAAATCACGAGATACTCCGAAATTTCCAACGAGAACACGCACACACACAAGCCGCGCGTACAACCTTCGCGCTACATCGATGCGCGCAGGCGCGAGTGCGCATGCGCGCTCGCGCCTGCGCGCGCCAAATTTCACGCGACTCAGATTTACCGAGAAATTGACAGAAGTCGCGGACAGAAGCTGAAAGAGGAGGCACAGGACGAAGATCCAAATCGTCCTGGATCCTCAGGATTAATCAAATTACTTGCGCGATTACAACTTGATGCGAATAACGACAAATATTCTCTCGCTCCCGAGACAAATTTTGAATCAACAAGTTTTGAATCGTTTGGTCGATAGTAGTGACAATCGATAACTGATTTGATGACAGTCGATAATTATGTACGCGTGTGAGCCTGTTCTTTTTAGCTGCACTGCTGCACTAGTGCAATTAGTTAGAGTGAAAGGAAATACGTTTGTCTTTTTCTAACTTATTGCACTTGCGCAGCAGTGCAGTTAAAAAGAACAGATCCTGTGTGTGCGACCTTACACGACATAACCTGAAAATGGCAGCCGAGGAAAGACAGACGACAAGTGAAAAAAAGGCCAAACCGATCTTCTGTGAACTCTCTGCTAACGATTTAGAACCGGAAATTACGAAGATCGAGAGCTTATGCGTGGAATGCGGGAAAAATGTAAGCGAACTTGTTTAGTTCATCTAATATAATCAAAAATATATCCTTTCTGATTATGACGCACGTCTCCTAAATGATTGTTTTGAATATTTATCAGGGGATTACCAGGCTACTGTTAACGAAAATTCCACATTACAAGGATGTTATACTCATGTCTTTCGAGTGCGAACACTGTGGCTATCAAAATAACGAGATACAAAATGGTGGGAAGATAGCGGAGAAAGGTGTCAAAATAACATTGCAAGTTGCAACGCAACAGGATCTGAATCGTATAATGGTTAAATCTGATTATACCAGCATTTGTATTCCCCACTTGGACTTTGAGATTCCTGCGCAATCGCAAAAGGGAGAAATTACAACGATAGAAGGAATAATTAATAGGAGTATTAGAGCTTTGGAGCAGGATCAGTCGAGACGTCGAGAAGAATTCCCAGACACTGCAATAGAGATAGATCTATTTATCAGCAAATTACATGCACTGAAAGTACTTGACGAGCCATTCACTATAATCTTTCAAGATATTTCGGGAAATAGTTACGTGGAGAATCCTAAAGCACCAATCAAAGATACTCAATGTAATATAACATACTTTAAAAGAACAAAAGAGCAGAATTGTATACTGGGAATTTACTTGGATAACGAAGATGCTTTGCTCAAGCCAATACAGGAGGGAGAATATACTCTGGAACAAATTGAAGGTGAAGTGTTGTCCTTTCCCACCAATTGCCCGGATTGCAACAGTCCCTGTGAAACAAATATGAAACTGACAAGTATCCTTTAATTATATATAAGTATATTTTTTACAAATATAACAAGAACATTAAACCAGAGAACAATTTATATATAAAATCTTTTTTCCAAATTATACAACACTTTAACATATTGCACCATTACAAGAAATATTGAAATGGTGCAATATGTTAAAGTCTATTTCTAAAAAAATAGATTATATGTAACCTTTGATCTTTATAAATATGCACAGACACATTTGCATATATTATTTTGAATGTTAATTTATTCGGAAAGTCAAATTGTAGAAACACTATAATACTTTTTCCTTAATACAATGTTAAGATATACCACACTTCAAAGAGATTGTTATAATGGCCACGCTTTGCGAGTCTTGTGGTCATAGAACTAATGAGGTGAAAAGTGGTGGGGGAATCGAACCTCAAGGAGTTAGAATTGAAGTGACAATAACAGGCAAAGAAGACTTCACTCGCGATTTATTGAAATCCGAAACTTGCGACATGGAGATACCCGAATTAGAATTAGAAGTCGGTCCAGCTGCTTTGGGTGGTCGATTCACAACTGTTGAAGGGATCATAACAGCGATAAAAGAACAGTTATCTTCATCTACGGCTTTCACCGGAGATAGCAGTGATTTGGAAACTGGGAAGAGGATGAAGACATTCATCGCTCATTTAGAAGAGATTTTAGATGGTCAAAGAGAAGTGACTCTAATTTTAAATGATCCGGCTGGAAATAGCTATGTACAAAGTCTCTCCGATGATGGACCTGATGATAGATTAAAGATCATAAAGTATGACAGAAGTTTCGAGCAAAATGAAGAACTTGGACTCAATGACATGAAAGTCGAAAACTATTAAACTTGTGTTAAATTAGAAGAACAAAGTATGATGAAAGTATATCTGAAAAATGGCCAGATAACAAAAACTTTTCATCTTAAATCACCATTGCCATTGTAACAAAGATTTTATTGTCCAACTAACTTGCATCATGTAAATATAAATTTTATATTATTTCCATTGAAGCAAACCCATTCTAGCTAATGTTCTCTACTTGATAATTTAGTTTAGTCTTCACCTGCACGGCTGAAAGAGAAAGAAAATTTACAATATATTTAAAAGTGACATTGCATGGCAGTGTAAAAAATAATGCATCAAGAAACACGCGGCATACACAATTGGTATCGCATCGAGTTTTTTTAAGGTAGGCAATCGTTTTATAACTTGTGCGCGCCACGATTCCACGTCCATGTTCTCGCATATAGGATTATTGATGAACAACAAGTCTTGGAGATTAGGTATTTCTTGCAAACGATTGAATTCCGCCCAATCTTTCACCAGATTATTGCCCATATACAAAACTTTGAGCGCTTTGAGAGCATTAACACCCTTGATCTTTTCGATCAAGTTGTAAGATATCCATAATTCCTCCAAGTGGTCCCCAATCGCCTCTAATCCTGAGAACGTTTTAATATTGTTTCTACTCAGGGATAAGATCCTCAAATATTTCAACGAATTAATGCCACTGATCTTTTCAATCATATTTGTTGACAAAGATAACTTTCTGCAAACGTTTTAAGGAACTTATTTAATTAATGCATTCTCTGAATAAAGTTAGCATGTTATTGTTATTAAAGGACAACAAACTCGACGTTGATTAACGCCGCCAAGTTATTATCCATTCTCTCGATTGGAGGCCACTGGAAGGATAAAATTATCTCCTTTTGTTCGCTCGCGATTAATCCTGTCTTTTCCTCCCATCTTTGAATAGCTTCTTTGCACGTTGTTGCTTTGGCCTATGTAGTTTTACTTTCGTAAAAAATATACATGTAAAATCGTATTATTTTATTTAAGATTATTTACCATAATTATCAAGCAAAAGATCAAGTTCCTTTCAGCAAAACTGAATAAATTGATTTTCAATTTAACGGGACAAATTGATGAACACAGTTTCCTTGCAGACATCAATGAATATATCGGCGAATACTAATTTTTGAAGACTGAGTAGAATATCCGACGAAATTTCAGATCCTATCCTCAAACCGCGCGCGACAATTCAAAATTCGCCGCGAATAAATCTAGGCTGGTAACTTCGCGCGAACTCCATGAAGTATGCATTTCTTCGAGACGCCTCGTCGACTCGTGAATTGGATCGCGAATCGCCGCTCGACTCCGAGTTCGCGTCAGCCAATGACCTTCGCGAACGCGGGCGACGAGACGCGGTGACGCGCGCGATTGGCCGAGGCTGTTGATCGATGCGTTCCCGATACCGCCGGTGAAATGTCAAATCGGTCGAAGAAGGACAAGGTACACCTACCACGGTAATCGGTCGTCGTCGAAACATAAACAATTTATCATGGGGTCTACCCGGCGATGATGACGCGGAGACGAAGATAGGAAGAGAGAGAGAAGGAGAGAACGGTGTCTTCGCTGCGGGCGCGCGCGAGAGAGAGACAGAGCGAGACGCAGTCTCTCGGAAGAGAGAGAGAGAGAGAAAGGGAGAAGGAATCCGATTGCGAGAGAGGGATCGGGGGAACAACCCCGACGGGCGAACGGACCTCGTCAGCCACCCGAGGATGTAGCGTGACTCCGGTTTCTTGACCCGATCTCGATTCCGCGCGCGAGGCCGCCCTCTGTTTCTCCGACAACGACTCGACTTCGGCTCGACTCGCCACCGACCGGGATTAATCGCGCCGCGCGATCCCTCCGTGCACGGATCGTCTCGTCTCGACTCGGCTCGGACGCGTGAACGTCGCCGACGACAACGACGACGACGACGACGACGCGCGCTGCAGCTCCCTCGGCCACGCGCCCGAAACGAGCGCAATGGTATGATTATTTTTCTCGCACGCGCGACGTTCCTTTCTTCCCTCTCTCTCTTTCTCTTTCTCTCTCTCTCCCGCTCTTTCCTAGCTCCTATTAACCCGCTCGCGACCTCGTGCATGGCCACCGGAGATTCACTCCGCTTCTGTTCCAGGAAACGGCGAAGAGCGGCAAGGACAAGGCGAAGAACGGCAAGGATGTCGACGCCGTTGACGAGGTGAGGTTATATTTCTCTCTCTACCAGCGTTCCCTCTCCCCTCGTCTCCTTTCTCGCCGCCGTCCTCTTCCTTGGCTGGGTAACGCCGTAACTTCTGTCAACGTGGATCGTATCAACGAGCAGCTGCTTGGTGCTCGCGAGATGTATCGCGTCCCTTTGACGGACGCGTTGCGCGAGAAACGTCATCGCGACGCGCATTCTTCGTTGACAGTTCGGGCCGCATGGCCGAGAAGACTCCGACATCTTGCATCTTTTTTCACTCGCCTTTTGTCTGCACCAACTTTACAAGTGCATGCATTAGGTCATACATGCGTATTTAGTTTTTTGAATTTTCCTTGGTTCTAATGACCCTCTGGGTCGCAAGGAAAATTTGGTGAAGTTGAAGAAAGTTATTCCACGTTGGCACAAGTTACACAGCATAATATGTTGGTCTCGATGAAAGATATCTAATGTATGTTTTTGACAAATAATAGCAGTTCATTCTTTGCATCGATATGATTTTATTGATCTCTCTATTTGCCTGTGATTTGTATTATAGCGACATGATTGTGCGAAAGAACATTTATGTAACTAATATCAAATAGCGTATTATTATATGTTATAGATTATATGTTATAGATGTAATTTTTCAAAGAAACATCTATAGTGTAGTAAAACGAATATAGAATGTGATACAAAAACTATGAAATTAACTTTTTACATATATATATATATATATATATATATATATGAATGTAAAATGTTTATAGCTGAGATATGAAGCATAATCATGAATGTTCTAAATAACTATGACTAAGAATATCTATAACATATAACATATAACTTTTACAATTGCATAATTTCTTCTAGAGAGAAACGAATATTTAATTGCAAGTAACACATACTTTATCTAATATCTTGCATCTCTCTAACTTGAAATGAAGTATTTCAGACACTATAATTGAATAATGATGGAAATTCATTCATTAAATTTAGCAATTATATCTTAGTTTATTACATTTATATCTTAAACATTATATCATTTGGCAGATTTATCAAATGCTTCATCACAATATTGTCAGAAACATGCATAAAAAATGATATTTATAAGGAAAATAATTGACATGAGAAATGAGTGACTTAATTTATTTAACTCTTATTAATATATGTATATCTTATAGATCTTATCCACATGATCTCTATTTTTTTAATATATATATATATATATATATATATATATATATATATAATAACAATATATAATAATTATTTAATATATATAATAACACACAATATTTCTTGTCACACTTTTTTTTCTCGCATTTGATCATGATTTCTTACACTTGAGCGATAAATATATTCTTGACAACGAACTGAAAACGTGCCTGCGCTTATAATGAAGCACTTATTATAATTGATATCGTTCAATGAGCGATCTAACTGCTGATGTTATTCATCGAGTAGTCAGATAAGAATTGTTGTCGCATCGGGGTTGAAACAGTTTCAAGTTAGATGGCGCATCTGTCAAAGGCTTGTAACGAACGCCGTATAATGTTACAAGAAGCACGGCCACCCATGTGTGTTATTAATTGGTATATTATATATTGGTGTATATTAATTGGTGTCGAAAAAAAAAATGATGATCGCGAATTAATATTTCCATGTTAAAATTTGATATCATAATTATGGCAGGTTGACGTGGATCAATTAGATTTCTCATAAATCATGTACGTCACCTGATGCGATTAAGTGATGAGATTATTAAGTGATGCGATTATATGGAAATTTTTGCAGAATTCGTATTAAAAGATAGAGTTGCTCTATCTTTTTACGAAATTAAGAATGAATAATTACTTTGAATAACTTGCGAATTGCATTTTTATTAACGTAATTAAATTGATCGTCAATCGCATACTAATTTTACCTTTCGCATCTCATCGATATATAATCAATATCGCGTGTTAATTTTGCACGTAACGATAACGTGACGTTACGTAAATATTTATTAACGCAAAAGATTCGCTCTGCTTATTCCGTTGATCTTCAAAAAGAAGAAAGTATTACTTTCCACTTAAAAAAATTTCATTTATTAAACTTAATTTATATTTGGATTATATATTAACTTTTATTTAGCATTTTATAGCGTTTCTCACGCTATTATTTTCAGTATCTCGTTGATGCAAAATAATTATTCGAAAGAAAACAGTCGACGAAATCATTTCCATCAATCTGTCAAACGTAAAAGATCGTAGAATTAGCCGCTCCTCACCATTTTTTTTCTCCCCCGTCGATGATTACAAAGGCATCAATGGCACTAAACGCGCATTGATTCGATGCCAGCGTGCGTTGTACATGACACACGTACACGTGATACGTGCGCATGGTTGCTACGTATATATTTACGCTGCCATTTGACACCGTATCCACCGCCACGTGATCGCGAGCTGTGTGTCAAACTTTAATTGGTCGCGCCAAGATGATGTGTACGAAAAAAAAAGTACACACTCAGGTCCGTGCATACGATTTTGCATTAAGCGAAACGGATTTGACAACAACGGGGGATTTTCGCGCGCGTTTCGCACATTGATTTATCTGACAATAATCTGCGATGCACGTGACACGGCATATTTTTTAAAATAAGTATCGTACACGAATTGTGACAGCTCTCTCTCTCTCTCTCTCTCACTCTCTTTCTTTGGCTTCAAGTCGTGACAGAAAATGCTAGTGGAAATTGCATTTGTACGTTCGCTCAAAGTGATGCAATTTGCGCCGCGCGAACACTTTGTAATATTATATCGATACGTGTACACGTGCCACTGCTATATCATGACATTTTTACGCGCAATTTTAACAGATGAACCTGTGTGTCAATCTCTTCAGTCAATTTGTTTTTAGATTTAATTAAAATTAAGGGCAATAATTGTAATAAATATAAGTACTGACATATGAATAATAGAAATTATATATTTTTGACAGAAATTATTACGCAAATTATTACATAATTATTTCTCTGCGTTTTTAACACATTCATTTAAAAATACTCTTTATTAATAGCAAAAATTATACATAACCCCGTTTTTAACTTTTTGGATATATATATGATAATTCTTTTATTATTTCGTATCGAGGACGATTCAATCAGAACTTGAAAGTACTCCTATTAATCTGGCTCCCCCACGAGTAAAAAATCGAGTTCGAATATATTGCAAAATTAAGTGCTAATTTGTTGCTTCTATCGATTAGCAGGAAAATCATATTAAAGGTGGTAGTTGCTCGAAGAATATTGTTAATTATTTATTTTTAATGATTTTACGCTTATATGTGTATGATATGTCATATTGGTGTATTTTTAAAAATTTAATATTTTTTAAATCTATTTGCAGTATCTTTGAGCAACTAATTAGTAACAAATTCTAGTGTATTTGTTTTTTAATTTGCGACTTTCTATAAGTGTTTTTCGAAAGTGGGGGTGCTAGCTTGCCATTAAGCTACCACCCCCACCTTTAATATGATTTTCCTGCGAATCGGTAGAAGCAACAAATTCACGCTTATAGCAACAAATTAACAACAAATCAGCACTTAATTATGCACTATATTGAAACTCGATTTTTCATGGTGGGGGTGCCAAGTTAATAGGAGTAAAGCAAGTGACTTTTCTTGTCGCTAGTATTTATTTTTGGTAGAAATAAACTTCTGCGACGTGTGTATGCAATAAATACGCTTTCGTTAATGAGATCATACGTAAAAACCTCATCGGTTGCCCCACCTACTCGCTAAAACTAACCACAGTGTGGAGAACAGCGTCTTCTCTATTTTGAGCGGCGTACAAATAGAAAGCAGGCTAATAATAGTCAATACCGATGGCGCATTCCAGGCTTCGTATCGCGGCCGTTTTTTCGACGACTTACCAAGAGGCCCCGTGTAATGTGCGCGCAGTTAGCTTCCTCTTCATCAAAAATAGCAAGACTTTGAGTCAAGAGAGTTTAAAAGTATATAGAAAAATATGAGGAAGCACACAGACTATACGGAAATAGCTTGGAATTCTAGAATCATGTTGCAGTAAAAGGAAAGTAATACAGAGATGTGCTTCCTCTCTAGAATTTTGATCGGGAAATACACATGCCCGTTCTGAAAGAAATATAAAGTTTAACAATTAAATAATAATAAAATTATGAAGAGATCGATTAAACTTTATTAATCCCGAGGAAAAAAATATATGTTGGCTGTAAATATATAATTTGTATTATTTTATTAAATATTAAATAAACAAATGATATCAACAATTGAGTGATAAAGGAATAGAAAATGTTTAGATGCTTTGGATAAGTAAAGCATATAAAAATTATTTTTATTACTTAATTTTTAGTCGAATAAAAGCACCAAAGAAAGGGATTGAAGAGTTTAAATGACCTTTTTGATATGACCTAAAAATTAAATAAAAACTCCCGCGAATATTGTTATAAAATATTTAATAATAAAGATTGAACAAGAGCTCATCTCTTCGAGACCGATACGTACATTTTTAAGGATTCGAGGATGATCGAAGAGTCATTTTTGACAGCATATTTTCATCTCGGAATTTTGTGAAAATAGGCCAAGATCAAAATAAATATAAATCGACCAGACCGAACCAAAAGTTATGGTTTCCGTGAAACCGCAATCGACATCCGTTTCGCGATATAAGCGGTCACTTCCACACACAATTGTTCGTTCGGTTGACGTGTAATGATGGGGTGCGAGTATATTTGTCACGTCGCCATAACGCGATGACAAATTGCAGATAGGCTATTGCGCGATGTCAAAGAATCGCGATAATCGATTAGCTGTGTGAAAATTGTCGGTGTCCAGGAAAATGATAGAGCGATATGCAAATATTTCGTCGTATGATTGAGATATTGAGAATTTCTACTCGTATATATATATATATATACAATAATGGCGTGATACCCAAATGTCAAAAACAGCTGATGTGCTAGAAGCACATTAATGGATGTATCATTTGTAATATCACGATGCGTTGCATAGAAAGGAAATTACAGTAAATAATATTGTCGAGTAATACGCACTAATTGCCACTAATATATCGACCTTGTCGACAATTATTTCTCAATTTAATCATCAATGTTTTTCTTAGATCGTGAATTGAGATTTTAATGTTTTATTTGTTTTGCAATTTTGAATTATATCTGATTTAAATGAAATCGATGATCACTCCTTCTTTTATACATTGTGTCAAATTACGAAATAATTGATAATAAGTAGAAAAAACAACAGTCATTACATGCATTTTATGTGATAACTCCTCTGAGATAGATCATCCATTGTCTACGTACATATGACGTGCAAGAAAACAATTTATATAACGTACAAATGTTACATATAACTATTGTTGTTTCGTATGGATATTTATTTCTATTTAAATATAATAACCGATTGTTGCAATTTTGACGTATGACACTTCGTTTTGCACGTGCAAATTGAATATTTAACTTGACAATATTATTGTTTAATACTCGTATTACTTTTTGTAACGTTTTTTATTCTTTTACACTTTTGACATATCATTAAATCTAAATCTAAAATAGAAGTGCTTTAAAAAAACATCGGTAAATTTCTTATTTTACAGGAGATAAAAAGTTGTATATGGAATTCTATCGCGAATTGGATGTTTAAGATGTGTTTAATTATTGTGTTTTCTTATTGACAGAATGCATAACGGGCACGCGTCGTTTTTGTTACCTGCTAACCACATGCAGCTACGACAAACTCGCGTTTCCTGTACGCGTTTCTCGTGTATGCGACGCGTGCATATGTTACACCTCCCACAGGTATTCAGAAATAGTAACCGGGCATTGTCGTTTCGTCACGCGGCGCTTAGACCCGCTTCATCATCATTGTTAGGGAATAACGAATGACAGGAAAGCAAGCCCGCGACGTGTACAAAAGACCTCGCCGCGTTCGTAATTGTTCTGTCGACGTGTATTTCTGTTAACGCCGTATGTAACGATATATCGCATCGGATATGGATGCGTGTCAGAGGTTTATTGGCAATTATTCGCCGCGACGAATACTCTCGTACAAATTTCGAGTCCACTTGTCCCCATTCATCGAAAACAACTCTGTGCATTCTATTTTTAAATATTTCGGCAGTACAAATTCAGTTTTGTAACGTGAAACTCTCGAGATGTCATGTGAAAAATAAAATTTTGCCATCCGTTGGTCTCCAAATTTTATTTTTCGCAATGTTAAATATTATCGTAATTTAATTCTATAATAGTGCATTATTGCATAATGAAGTTACTAAGTGAGACGTATTGTATATGAAGAAAATATAGAACAATTTGTTTTCTTCGGATTATAAGTATGTCAGAAAAAACAAAGCAGACTTAACAAGTATTGTCATTCATATAAACTTACAGAGTATAACGTATACGTATCAATAAATTAGGATCACTTATCGTTATTATCACATTCTAATCTTAAAAACTTTTTCACTATCAACTAACACATGATAATGTACTCGATATATAAATACATTACGTAACATGAAATCTCGAATAATTTGTATCTTACTTAAACATTTATTTATTATAAACATTTCATCTAGATTGAGCTAAATTTATTTACAAAAGTAATTTTTTTATGCGACTTATTGGATTTTTAAAAATAACATATACAATTTTATACGCGAGCTATTTTATCATTTATTCAATTACAAATTTTCAAACAGCCCTCAATTGCAACAAATTCCTATTCTTTTTAAATTCTATATATAATTTAAAATTACAATATAATCATTTCTTGATTTCGAAAGAATACAACGCTGCAAGGTTTCCACATTTTCGTTATTACTACATTTTAAAAGAAAGCTAAGACAATAACATATGCTAAGGCAATAATCATTTTTCATTCTCTCTCTCAAGAATATAAATAATAATTCTTTTTATAACAAAAATGAAAAGGTAGAGCCTCTGCGACTTACTCTCATCTTTCTTTCCCTATCTCGTTTTTAACTCTGTACACCCTTCCTCCCCAGAGAACGAGCGCATCTTTCTCAATCGCGAGAAAGAGCAGTCGAAACCTCCTTTCTTCTCACCTCGATTACGACCGAGACGCCATAGATACGAATGTATGTACACATATCCTAGAGCTCGAGATGAAACGTAATTCCTCGTAATTGGCGCAAGGGTTAAGGTCGTACGTGGCGGCCTTGAACGATCGGCGTCGATCGGACGGCGGCGTGCCGCGAGAGCCGATCCCGCTCGCCAAAAGCCACGATGTGTGTATACGAAAGTGTCGCAAGCGGCTGGCTGCGATTCTCGGTCACGAGTGCACGCTCGCCGCTCGCCTCTGACAGTGCGCTCCCGTCGTCGCCGCTGTCGCCGTCGCCATCGCCGTCGTCGCCTCCGCGAAGCGTATCTTGGGCGTCGCGACGTCGGCGACGCTCTCGTTCGCATCTCTCTCTCTCTCTCTCTCGCTCTCTCTCTCGCTCTCTCTCGCTCACCTCTTGGCCGTCGTCTATCGTCTGTAAATATCGCCCTGTCTCTCTCTTTCTCGTTCTTTTTCCATCTCTCTCTTCCTCAAATCGCTGGCGTCGCGACGGGCGAGTTTCCGATCCGGAGAAACTCTCTCTCGCGCGCGCGAGAGAAAACAGTGCCATCGAGGATTTCTCGTCTGAAAACCGGACGACGGGAAGGTGACGTTTCTCTCCTTTACGGCGCGCCGCGAGCAGCGTAATCCCAAGTGCAGCCCGTCTTTTGTGCGCGATTAGATCAGTTCGCGAGAATATTCCGCGGTGGACAGGCGGCGTGGGGAATATTTATATCTCCTCTCGCACGCACGGGGATGCCGCGAATTCCCTCGAGAGCGGAGGAAACGCGCCTGCTTTAGCGTCATTCTCGCGAATCGCGATCTTTTTCCGTTCGACGATGGTCGAGTTAACCCCATGTTTTATATATGTGCGTAAGATAAACAAGACTCGAGACAAGTTTACGTTTATTTGAAACGTACGTGTTTTTATTTATTATCAGACAAGTATTATTTGTCGTAAGATGAAGTAAGTTATGCCGAGAGAAGGTAAACTAATGAACGTAATTATGGAGTTAATTGATATAAAATTCATATGAAGAATAATTATAATATTAATACGATCACAAAAAATTATCTTAGAATTTATTCAATAATCGATAAGAGAAAATTGAATTGAAAAATATTTTTAGCTTGAAAAATATAATTTAAAGAATATTTTTATTAATTTAAAAAATATAATATTATCGAAAAGATGGGGCGATACGTTATCGGTGTTAACCGCGTGAATTACGTCGTGTCAGGCGTCTTCTAAAGATCGGTATTCGAAAATATTGGGTTACAAAACATTACGTGATGACCAGCGACAGAAGGATAATATTTACTCTCTCATCACTCTCGATTGTCGACTAAAATATTCGCGAGTGCAAAATGTCGGAGCAAAGACTGCGGCGGCTTTTTCTAATCTTGGATAAGAGAAGAGAAGGAGTCTATTTCCCCCCTACCCCCCTTCTCACTCTCTCTCTTTTTCTCGCCCAGACATTTCATGGGCTTATTTTTATACATACGTCCGCCTTTTCGCGCGTAAATTATTTGCAAGAGAACTGTCATCGTAAATAGATCCAGTGTAACATCCGCCGTTAATCGCTGACACAGTTTACCACTTCAATGATTGTACCCGGAATTTTCTTTTTTTTTTCTTTTTTTCTTTTCAAAAAAGAACTTGTTTTATTTATAAATATTTTAAACTGAATAAAGATTCTCTAATAGCCCGAGAATCGACTGTGTACAGTCTAATAATGCAAGTCGCATCTTCCTCGATTTTTTCAGAAATAAAATCTTTACGTTGGACTTTAAATCGATATCAACTGAGAGAATCGATTTAATATATTTAAAAAGAGAGAGAGAGAGAGTGAGTGAGAGAGGGAGAAAAGCCAACGCAGCGTTTTCCTCGAATTTCGCGAAATATTCCTAGGCATGCATTCGGGGATGCACTCTCAGGTGCCAGCGAGAAGAAAGCGGATATTCCCGGTGGATCGTGAAATAGTGAATCGGCTGTTCGACAGCTGTGTGTGATTGAAATTCTTCTCGTCACGTGAGAAGGGAGGACCTCGCGAATGCGAGAATCATGTTGCGTCCTGACGCCGCAAGACCGTTTTTCCTGGGGCGGGTTTCTGTTGTGCTGTGCCGATAGTAAATTATTCCTTCCCTGGACGGATCATTGTTCCGGATATATATCGCGCACTGGAATGCAGAGTAAGATGCAAACCTTCAGCAGTCTTGCCTTCGGGAACGTGTTCAGGAAAAAGGCAGGTTTTCCTTGGAGTCTATTCCGAACGATGCGTATTTGCTCGTTGAATATTCGACAAATTTTTAATTCGTTGACTTCTATGATCAATTTATTGTCGAGTAAAAATGTAGACTAAAAAGTCAAAAAATGTTGAGTTCTTTTATATATTTTTTCTTTAAATATTTTATTACATTATCATATTACTATTCCCATTATATCTTTTTCGCATGGATTGTATTTGTATTTGTATTTGTATTTTTATCTATAATGCTTGTGTTTTGAAAAAAAGAATATATTTTCTTCATTAACGAAATAAAATATTAACTTCGCTATAATTATCTTCTGCATTTATAATATAATCGCACTAATTAATAAGCATTTTTTAATTCTCACTATGATAATCAGAAAAATATTTGTCGAATAGATGCAATGTTTGTCATAGAAAAAACTCGATTTTTTATTCATTCACACTATATATCATAATTACGTATATTGCCTGGAATATTGTTATTAAGCATTGTTGAATAAAGTCAAAGTGTTATCATTAATTTTTTTCGGCCAATTTTTTTCGTTCTTGTACGATTTAACGTGCGATGAGATTGAAAATATCTTTTTCAATATTTCTATATATCAGCGTATACTTATCAAACGTGACTGATATGATAATTAAAGATATATAACAATTTTTTAGCATAACGCGTTAGTTTTAATTGTGCGGGATTAAGTATTTATAGATAAATATGTACAATAAATATCGAGAATGCGCATTACTTCTATAGCAACATCAAGAAGAGCATTACGTAAATAACATTAACATAAAAGTATGAAATATCTCGTATCATAATACACTTCAAGTATCAGAGATTATTGCGTTCCAATCGATGAGTCTATCAGAACAAAGATCGACGACTTCTTTTAACTTGTTTTAACCCTTATCTTTAAATAGGTCGACATATTAAATTAAAAGTTAATTTGAACTTTGGATCTGTATATAATTCAGTTTGTAATCAAGTATTAATTATATTACGTATGAAGATAGTTCTTTTCTTATCATTTTTCTATCACTTTTTTTAATTTTAAGCATTATTAATATTACCATTGTATATTTCTATTTTTAAATTTATTATTAATTTTTATTATCTTATATATTTTTATGTTTTATTTGAAAATATCAATATTGAAAAACAAGTGAATATATTATACAACTTATATTTTCAATAACAAATAGAAATTATAACACAGCTTCGTATTTCAATTTTATTACAATTATAACTTCATGAGAATATCACGATGTATTTATTTTATTTAAAAAAATATATCTAAAAGAAGTAAGTCTGCTGATATAGCTTGTCAAGACAAGAAATCGAAATCGACATATTAATAGTTAATCATCTATCTTGTAAAACCGAAAATGATAGCAGCTTTATATAAAACCTCCCATATAATCACTCTATTTTATCGCAATTGGCATCGCATTCATTCGAAATAATGAATGGCTTTTGATGAAAATGAGAAGCGCCATTAAAAAGATAAAAGATGCGAAATGTATGTCCTCCGAAACCCTCGAGCGAGAGAATTCTTGTGACAATAGAATCTACAATAGCTTGTAATCTTTGACCGTGAACTTTAATACCGATCAATCTTTTCTCATGTAAAAGCATTCATTTTAAATCATTATTTGTTTGTACATGAAATCAATCAATCGGCGAGATTTAATTTACCTCAAAGCACAATATGTTGCAAAGATTGACAGTTTATTAACACGTTATATTGCCCAAGGTAAATATGGTGAAATTATTATATTCTTCAAATCAATAAATATGTATCCTGATTATTATTACTGGAATAAACTGAAAATTATCCTTAATAAATTAGAATTTTTTTAAGAAAAATTATTTAAGAGGATCTCATATATTCACATACGACGTTGAACATTTTTATATTTTGAATCATATATCATTTTTAATAAATTCTAATTTTTTTAATCATAATTTAATTATTTATATTATACCATTTTTGAAAACAATGTTTTTATGAACAATCAGTTTCTTTTAATGTTTCTTGGATAATAAGCTTTTCAACGTTTCGAAAGATAAGGCATTGTCCGATAGAAGTTTATTACATCACTTCGTCACGAAACAACTTGTGCATATTGCTCATTTACGGTTTTACATCTTTTAAGTTCTCTCTCTGACAATTATTACAGCAGTAGATACCAGATTTGACTGGGAGATGATGCATTGTATCGCCTTCTTTGTTCGTCAAGCGTACGTGTTCGCACATGCGTGTTCTTTTGAACATATAACAGCAAACAAATTCACTCCAATGAGTGGCGGTGTAAACTCTGTAATAGCTCATTAGACCGTGATTTGCATCTATTTTTATTCGCTATCTACGGACACACGCGCTTTAGTAACACCTCTTTATTATGCATTTAACTTGCCCATGTTACCTGCCATAGTACTACGCAGATGCCTTATTGATTACGCAATGTTTTATCGTGCATTCGCGCAACGTCGAATATTTCGAGAGCAAGCTTCAATATTTAATTCCTTGAGAAAAAAGAAACATTTCCCTGAAATTAATAATAAATTAATTTTCTTAATAATTCTCTAATTTTTTAAATTATATAAGTTCGTGAATAAATTACACGGCTTTGTTAAAAGTCACATTACGAAATACCGATCCTTAGTACTGATACGGCCGGCGTGTCAGTAATACCGTGAAAAAAAATCGGTGATTGTTAATTAGATATTCGAAGTTACGCGCGAGAACTTCGAAAGCGGAACGATCGGGAAAGTGAGCGAAGAAAGCTCGTGTAACTAGTAACTACCTCGGTCGGTTTGTAATAAAGCCGCCATGCGAGAAGAAGGGTATCTGATTGGATTCATTACGGGATGCCAACGGGGTTCATTTGTTCGGTCGACTTAGCCGCAATCCAGGGTAAAGCATTTGTGTTCGCGACTTTCCTCGCTCATTCGAATAACCCACTTTATAACTCTGATCAAAGACGATTAAAAGGAACGCTGTTTGTTCACGTGTTTTTTTCTCTTTCGTAAAGTTCACGGCCACATCTGTTAACGAGTAAAATGATCGGCGATCATATAAACATGTAATATACATATGTTCTTTGCATACAATGAAATTTTATTTCAGACCTTTTTTCCAACAGAAATTAAATTTTAATTAAATTTTGTATTCTCTCATTTCACTCTTGTCAGTACTCGATAATAAATATGTCAGCAAAACAAGGCATTAAATAGAAATATTTAAATATTTAACATTTCTATTTTAAAAATTGTGATATTATTGTGTACTTTGGGAAATTTACTCGCGAAAAGTTCATCAATTAATTACGTTTAATAAATTGTTTGTGCTTCGATATTTTTTCCTAATAAAGAAAATTTAATTTAATAAACATTGGTTCCAAATGCTTCCATCGCGTTGAATATCAATTTATTTAGGCCATGCAATTCCAGTTCTGTTATAATATAATCTGTTATAATATAACATTAATATTAATATAATATAATATTAATGTAATATAATGTTATAATATAAATATAATGTTATAATATAAAAAGATCACATATACGTGCAGCTTTTTTTACGCATCATACCGTATGGATTATCAGTACATGGAGGTCGACGTCGCTTCCTCGCGTTCCATTTATGTAACGTTAATCTGATCGGTGTGCTATCGCTCGCGATCGATCGTTCACCTGCGGTCGACTCGAATTAATAAGAAGACGAGTTACCGCAGATTAAATCCGCTAATCATCGGCGGTCTGTTCAGATTTAACTTACATTAAACCTGCTTCATTTAGCTTACAATGAATTACTCGCGCATTAATTAAACATCTACTGATATTTATGGGGAATATTGCAGATCTACAAACTTCCAATCAAAAGTACAAACAGTTTGAAAAAGATTAATGAAAAAAACCTTTCATTAATCAAAATAATAGGTTTTTTTACATCAAATTAATCGTAACATATCTGTTCATTTTATTATTATGTATTTGCAAATTTTGTATCTATTTTTAATTTTTTTATCTTCCACAGGCAAACAAGATGACCGGGGGACCTCCGGTGGGCAATGCACCGCCTCCACCTACGCTCATCAATAAAATCAAGTATCAACCCGGCGGACCTGTAATTAAAAAGGATAAACGGCAAAGCAGCTCGAGGTTCAATATATCGAAAAATCGGGAATTGCAAAAATTGCCGCTGTTGTCCGGTAAGTTCACCATTCACTGTGAAATAGTTCACGAAATATGCGCATTAACTCTAAGCTTGGCAGTGTATTCTACTTGAGATATAGGTCTCTATTGTTTATATTTGTAATTTTCTTGTTTACATCTGAAACTTGTTTTTAAATAAGATAATATAAATCATATTTACGCGTGGATATTTTTGTGCATCTCGTAAATTCTACATTTTAAAAAAATATTTTAATATGATTTTCCTTAGTTTAGAGTAAGATGCTGTACATAATTTTATTGCAAACTTATATAACACATTATTTTAAATAATATGCAAAAATGAAGCATACACGCTCGCTTTTGTAACATGAAAAATTTAAGAGATTTATCCAATGAAATTAAGATTTACCTCATTTGAAAATGCTTCCGTTTATTTCCGTTAGATAAAGCGCTTAATTAACATTGGAGTTCAATGTTTTTTACATTTGTATTATCGGTATTCTACATTGTAATAAAAATGAAAAAAAAAATCAGTTTGCACGTCATACAACGAACATATCTTTACGCATGACGTATGATACTTATGCAATTGTAAATAACTTTGAATATGAAATCTCGACCTAATCGACGATATGAAGAAATCGTTATACAACAAACTCTACACATGACTATAGCACTAGACAATTAATTCAGAGCAAAGAGCAAAGCGAGCGAATTAACAGAGACATATAAATGATGTGATCGAGAGATATAAATGATGATAATCGAGAGATGAATAAGAGGCGAAAACGAGAGGGGAGATGAAGAGAACGGAACGACGTATTCGGTCCTCCTGTCCTTTCCCAATATAATGCCGGTCAATCGAGGTTGTGCGAGAATGCTTCCTACGTCAGAGTATATCGATTGCGTGCAACGGGGGTCGCGCAGGCGCTCGGATTCTGGTTCCCCGTTTTCTCAACGTAAACAGTCGCGTCGCCCCCGCCAGCCATTTTAGCATCCCTTGTTGATCTCTTCTCCTCCAACCGCACCGAGACCGGCGCTCGCACCCTCGCGAGAGCTCCACCTGGCTCAACGGCTCTACCTGCATAGAGGACTCGACGTGGAAGAGCGGGACAGGGGATAGGGGGAGGGGGGGGGATGTATCAACCCCGTGACCGATCGAGAGATGACCCGCGAGATCCTGGCGAGGACCGGCGAGTTCATTGACCGCCGATGCCACTTAGGCGAATCTCCCTGCTGTCGCCCTCTCTCGTCCACCCCCCGATCATCCCCTCCCCCCACCTCCCGTATCTCACGAACGCGGTCACCGGGTTCCGGGGAGCCGCGAGAATGCGCCGCCTAGTGCTAGCCGGTGTTTCATAGGGGTGGCCTCGCAGCGCGAAACACCCCGAAGAGAGAAGGCTCGCCTTTCTCTGGTCGATCGATTGGCGCGGACGAAGCAACAGATTGTTGCGAACGTTAAACAACGACGGGAATTAGCGGCGAACGGACGCCGGGTGCTGTCGGCGGGGTTGTTATCGCGAATCCGTGGGAAAATCCGATTAAGGGCGGACGCGATTTGAAGCTCGAGAGGGCTTCGAAGACGCTGATTTGGAAAAGATGGATTAATCCAGGCGGATGGAATTTACGGAAAAATATGAAAAATATTTATTGGAAATGATTGAACAATTGCAGTAAAAAATAATAATAGAGAGAAAGTGAAGAAAATTCCAAGATATTAATAGTTTTCTCTAGTGATTTAAAAAGTTGGTGAATCTTGTGAAATTAAAGGAATTCTGGTCGAAAGTTGATGAATTTTATCATTTAGACAATTTCCAGCCAAAGCAAGTGAATTTTGTTATTTAAAAGATTTACAAGTTGGTGAGTTTTGTGATTTGAAAAAATAATTTTGTGAACAAGCTTGGTGAAAAATAATATAGCGACTTTTATAAAAAATAATATATTTAAATTGAATATTCAATACTCTCATATATTACGCGAAATAATGTGTATAATTATAAAATATAAAACTAAAGATTCGTGGATTTTGTAATTTTGGAAAATTAATTTTACGAGAAACACCATTTTATGGAAAGCTTGATAAAATCATTATTAAATTAACGAGAAAAAAATCCATGTTTATAAATTATTGAGAATTTGATCTTTCTGAATAAGATGCTTATAATAGCCATGGACTCCTAACATATATTAGAATACAAATAATTATAGAATAAATCAAGTTCATTACCGGAAAATAATATTTTGCCAAACCTTACGTGTTTATATTGCATATTACTTTGTACAGTTATAAAATTTTTTGTATGCAATAATTTAATGTTATATTTATTGGCATAAATTATCAATCTCTTTGTGCGAAAATGTTCTTGCAACATATGTAATAAGCGCGATTCAAATTAATTTACTTGAAGTACAATTACATTTCTGCATGGTTTGGCAAAACAAAACCACGCGCGTTTCTTTGCGCGAGCAATGCGAAAAATAACATAAGAGAAACTAGTAAAAGTGATTCGTTGAAGGTCGACAATCGTTGTGGCCTAATAAAATATCGTCGAGTAAGTAGATAATGAAAAATATAAACACTCTCCGGAAATTGGTTTCCGTCCAAATCGAAGAAAAGATCGAGGGCAAATTTAATAGAGAGTATTACATTTTCTTATAAAAAGAAGAGTAACACTATATATTAACAAGAGCTCAATATATAATAACAAAAATTGTCTTAGAAGTTGAAGAGCAAAATCACGAAGGGAACATTATTATTGATCGCGACTTTGACATATCAGAAGACCAATCCTGGCAAATGTATTTGTGTGTATGTGTATGTGAATATAAAGTGTTGCAAATTGTTATGAAAAGGTATAGAAACAGATCTTTGTGCTGCTCAGCTCGACGTATTCGAAGAGATTCGCTAATGAATAAGGTGCGAGTGTAAAATCGTAACGCGATCTTGACATATATACATAGTGTATCGCGCGATGGTTCACGTCGGTGGAATTAGCCCATCTCTGGGCGGTGCTCTGCCCAAAAGTCCCAGTTTTCATCAGGGTCTTGCCTTGGCGACGGTATTGCCTCAGGACTCGAACAAGGGTTACCCGGTTACCTTCGCGCTGCACTATCAACCTTTGCAACCTCTTCTAATCGGTAAAGATCTCTCTCCTCGTCGCTTGGATCAATTTTGCAAATTGCTTTTATTTAAATCGAATTGCACGTAAAATTTTTTCATAATTACAAAATTTTTTTATTTCAAATTTGCAAACTTTTAATTTTCAAACTTTTTATTCCACAATTAATACGGTATTTAAATACACTGTCGATTCGCTAATGTAATGAGGCATATATTTCAAGAAATAATACTTAGAATTTTCTTTATAAAATCCCTTTTTAATTAATAAAAAAAATTGTTTGAGAATGAGACACATCCGCGAAATGGTCAAACTGTAATAAATCCAGCAATCGATCTCGTTATTTCTATTATGGAAACCACCAGGAATAGTAGGCGATAAATAATGCCTCTCGGTAACAGTCACGATATTTTGAAGGTCGTTATCGATTCTCCTGCAAAACCTGCTTGATTAATCAACAAAACGAGATTATTTTTAAGATTTTAGATAAAAAATTTATCGCATTCATTATAATGTGCCATTAAAGCTTGCACAAATATCGATTGCATAAATATCAATAATAAAAATAACCCTATGATAACGTATCTTTTGCATAAGGAATAAAACAGATTTATTAACATCTACAATAACTGTCTATATAGATCAAAGGGTTCAGAAAAGCAAATAGAATATCGATCATCGCGTGCTTCACTTCTATCAGTGGTAAATTATATCAGGTATAATCATCCTATTATTACCAAAAATATTTTATTAAGCTAACTTTGCTTCCATTGAGGATCATAAAGTTGTTTCAAAACCAGGACTATTAATATTCTGCATATTTATATGCGACATTTTTTATTATACATTATCACAATTTTACTTAACATCAAAGTCCTCGATTTATCATATTTCAATAAGAACTTTGTACTTCCGTCGATATCTTGACGCTGAAGTATGAAACATAAATTATCGGGATTTAAATTCGTTCAAGAATCATTTCTCATTTATGTCAAGAAGGCAAATGGAAAAGCTATTTATTTCACCAGCAAAATATTCAAACGAGAAAAAGAAACAGGCGGATGCAAAAAGAATATATTCGAATATGCTTACGTCGTATTGGCACATCGATATTCATGTAGACTAATATGATTAATAACGACAAGGTGCGCGATACATCCATCGCGCTGTGTTTATCGTAAAAGCTGCCAAGTACGGCGTGACCTATTAATCACTGGTTATCTGATTCCAGAAACGCAACAGGGAAACGAACGGGAGGAACTTTTTATACAGAAGCTACGGCAATGCTGCGTCCTCTTCGACTTCGAGTCCGATCCCTTGTCAGATTTGAAATGGAAGGAGGTAAAGCGCACTGCCCTCCACGAGATGGTCGAGTATGTAACCAAAAACAAAAATGTTATTACCGAAGCGATATATCCCGAAGCGGTAAACATGGTAAGCAACATAATTAATATATTTCCGCGTACAAGCATCTTCGCAAATTACACATTGTATCTTTTGAAAATTGAAAATGTGCAAGAAACTATATAAATTACAAAAAATTTGATTTAAAAAGGAAATAAACTATACTAGTTATGAAGAATATAATATCACACAATATAATAATGTACAGTGAAAATGAGTATTTTATATATATACAGGGTGACCCATTTTAACTTAGGCAGCCAAATAACTCGAAAAATAAGCACACTACGAAAAAATTGTTAGAATCAAAATTTCGTCATTTCGAGGGGAACGTACAATGACGTTAAAATCAGCCCCCCCACCCCTCCCCCTGGGCGGTGAGGGGGGGCAAGTTTGAATTCTTAAATGGGAACCCCTATTTTTCATTGCATATTCTTGTAGCTTATCTCGAGAGCTTTCCAAAACACTATAATTAAGTACCTTTTTATTAAGTACTTTTTGAGTTATAAGGCTTGAAATAATTTCTTAATTTTACATAAACCATAAAATATCTAGTAAACCATTCATTTTTCGATTATCTTACCTTCATACTTTTATGTACAAAATAATGAGAGGAATCAATTGGTGTAAAGAAAACATACAGTTGTTTTTAAGAAAAAATATGGAATTGTTAATTGCAAATTACATATTTTTTCTTAGAAACAACTATGTGTTTTCTTTACACCAATTGATTCCTCTCATTATTTTGTACATAAAAGTATGAAGGTAAGATAATCGAAAAATGAATGGTTTACTAGATATTTTATGGTTTATGTAAAATTAAGAAATTATTTCAAGCTTTATAACTCAAAAAGTACTTAATAAAAAGGTACTTAATTATAGTGTTTTGAAAAGCTCTCAAGATAAGCTACAAGAATATGCAATGAAAAATAGGGGTTCCCATTTAAGATTTCAAACTTGCCCTCCCTCACCGCCCAGGGGGAGGGGTGGGGGGGCTGATTTTAACGTCATTGTACGTCCCCCTCGAAATGACGAAATTTTGATTCTAACCATTTTTTCGTAGTGTGTTTATTTTTCGAGTTATTTGGCTGCCTAAGTTAAAATGGGTCACCCTGTATAAAATATTTCTAATATTATGAAAAATATTTTTGACATTTATATAATCTTACATTTTCAAAAAAGACGTGGAAACATAATTTAAATAAAACTAACTTTGAAAATAAAATTGAAAATTTTACTAAAACCATGAAAATCCTCAGTTTGCAGTGAACTTATTCCGGACGCTACCTCCATCATCAAATCCTAACGGCGCGGAATTTGATCCAGAAGAGGACGAGCCAACATTGGAGGCAGCTTGGCCGCACTTGCAGCTTGTTTACGAATTTTTTTTGCGACTGCTAGAGTCGCAGGACTTCCAGCCATCTATAGCGAGGCGCTATATAGATCAAAAATTTGTGCTACAGCTCTTGGAATTGTTCGATTCTGAGGATCCGAGAGAGAGGGATTTTCTCAAGACAACCCTCCATAGGATTTATGGAAAATTCCTGGGCCTCAGAGCATACATTAGGAAACAGATAAATAATGTTTTCTATCGATTTATATATGAGACGGAGCATCACAATGGCATTGCAGAGTTGCTTGAAATCTTAGGAAGGTAATGATAATCTTAATAAAAATATGATGCGCAAATATGTAAATTATATTCATTGTTCTGTATATTTTTCGCAGTATTATAAACGGCTTTGCTCTACCGTTGAAGGAAGAGCATAAGGTGTTTTTGTTAAAAGTCCTATTACCCTTGCATAAGGCTAAGTCATTATCCGTGTATCATCCACAATTAGCGTATTGTGTCGTTCAATTTTTGGAAAAGGATCCATCGTTAACGGAACCCGTAATTAGAAATCTGCTAAAGTTCTGGCCAAAAACACATTCCCCTAAAGAAGTTATGTTCTTGAACGAGCTTGAGGAGATCTTAGACGTCATCGAGCCAGCTGAATTCCAAAAAGTCATGGATCCGTTGTTTAGACAGTTAGCCAAGTGTGTGTCGTCGCCGCATTTTCAGGTAAGCGTACAATTTTGTTGTCCTGTTTTATACAACGTTCCATATGCTTTGCTCGTTTTTTTCAGGTGGCAGAAAGGGCTCTCTATTATTGGAATAACGAATACATAATGTCCTTGATATCGGACAATTACTCCGTCATTTTACCGATAATGTATCCAGCTTTTTATAGAAACTCTCGTAACCATTGGAACAAGACAATTCATGGTTTAATTTACAACGCTCTGAAACTTTTTATGGAGATGAATCAAAAAGTATTCGATGAATGTACAACACAATATTATCAGGTATGTTTGATGGCTTATTTTTTCAATACATATATATATATATATATATATATATATATATATATATATAATTATACATTGAGTTGATTTTATAAAAAGATTAAATAATAGAGTAGAATAAACTATTCTTCTTGTTTTGAACATTTGATAGGAGCGTCAAAGGGAGCGAAAGCTCATGAAGGATCGAGATGAAGCATGGATGCGCGTGGAAGCGCTCGCTATGAGGCATCCAAACTATAATACGGCAAATAAAAGCACAACGAATAATACATTATATATGTCACCACAGCACATAGATAGCTCACCGCCCGATGAAGACGGTGATACAGATCAAACTCCGCTTACTTTGGAGAAAATCGAAGCTAAAGCTAATGAGGTATGAATTTATATTTGTGTAAGGCTAAGAATTTCGATATTTTTTCTAATGCAAAACATAATGCATTCTAATGTAAAACATTTCGCTATACAGGCGAAGAAAATGACAAATGTAAACAAAGTAAAGCCGCTTTTACGAAGGAAGAGCGATTTACCGCAGGATTCGTATACAATGCGGGCATTGTCCGACCATAAACGCGCCGATGAATACCTTGTCACGCCACCAGATCCGAATAATTGCTAGTCTCTACCACAAACCCTTCCCATGTATCCTTTGTTTTGCTGTAGTAACATCGGAAGTTAGTTTTTTTTCTAGGGGAAAACGGCGATATAAGAACGCAAACAATTTAGCAACAAGAATCCTATTGTGCGAAATCTATAACCGTATTATTATTTTAGCATGTATCTCATTGTATTTGTTTATTTTAATAGAGAAAAAGAAAACCCTACTTTTTCCTGCTGCGTATCATGCGATTCAAAGAGACAGTACATAGATATCATAGAAGCTTACAGAAGAAACTTTCATTTTTCGTAGAAATGCGTTGTATTTATTTCTTCATTATTAGAAAAAGAAAATTACAGCTGCGAGTGAAACTGTAATCACATTGCTATATAAGATATGCATACGATAAACAAAAAGGGCTCTAAATACACTACTCGTAGAATCTCCATCACATTGGAGACACCTTGGGATGCTACTTTCTTGCTACGTCTCAACAATAAAATAATACGGATAAGATATGTAAAACGAGATGATTACGGATACTGCGGTTGTAACGGATTTGGTATATTCTACAAAAGATTTTATATACTGATGAGAGAGCGGTGATTGTGTGTGCGGGAATGTGATCGCGAAGATATAAACGTATGCTCGATGTTGTAACCCATACTATGCGCGCTATGCGAGCTTGTTGTGTTAACAATCTTGCAAATAATGTTTCCATTTATGTGCAAATGATATATACATATATAAATATACGTACTTGCTTTAACACTACAGGCTCGTTGTAGTTAAAGGAGAAACGAATAAATGAGACGAAGGGAAAAGGATATACGCTGGTGCGCGTAATCTTAGGATGTATATGATAGTGCTATTTTAAAAATAATAGATTGCTACGAGAATATCTGAATACTTCTGAGTGTACTACTTTTATATCTGTTGTGCCTAGATGCCTGTGGAATGCATTCACGAAAAAAAATATGCCTCCGCGCGTGGGGCCTATACACTGCAAACAGCAAAAATAAGCAGCGAGGTTACATGTCGCTTTGCCAAATATAATCGATATTACAGGATTTCAGTAATGCTTGCATAACATGTTGCGTTGTTAACTCATTGACCTTGGGATTAATTAAAAAAAAAAGATTATACTGTTGCGGCCACAAGAGGTGAAAGGGAGAAAAATAAAGGAAGAAGAGAAATATTAAGATACATTTAGTCCTTGCGCTGCTGGCAAGTTGTTACGTTAATAATTGTCGAGGATACCTTGTTGAACATAGATACGATAAGCACTTATATTAAATATTAGAAATTAAAGCTATGAAGAGAGATAGATTTAAACATTATTTACTTATTAATTATTCCTATTCACAAGAGGAATGGCCATTTCAGCTAATTGATCATTAATTAGTGATATAAATATCATTATATATAATTATTAGTTATATTATTTTTAGTAATGAGATGAATATAATGACACGAAAGTAGGGTAATAGTAATAATGTAGTAGATGGCATGCCTTGTGAATCTGTTTAATCTATATCTGGAAACCTGTGCTTTCCAAATTAGATTGATAATAAATAAATCACGCGTTTCCTAGAAAAGACCATCAAAGACTCGTCAGAAAGGAAGAAAAGGAAAACAAATTTTTATTCGCCGCATGCAGCAACTCGAAAAGACATCGAATCAGATAGTCTCCGCGAATGTGAATGTATGCGCCTGCAAAAGCTTAAATCGAGCCTGATTTAATAGAAAGCTGAAAAGAAATCGTAATAATGATAATAATAATAATAATAAAGCCGTTGTTAAAATGATACAGAGCTGCCGGGTCATTTTACACACATAATAAAGACACGTTAACTTTGCATCGTACCGTGAGAGTTCTTTCATACATAATACGTGTAAAGCACGATAAAAATATCATCTGCGATATTACATATTTTTTTTATAGAGATTCAAACAAGGATTGAAATTGGTATAATTTTGATTTCGATGTAAAAAACAATGATCTCTATATTTATTTGTGGCAATTGAAATGTAGCGTTAGAGATTTATAGTATCTCATATATATTAATATTGGTTTCAATTCTTGATTTAAACTTTCATGAAAAAACTTAACTATAACTGATTTAAACTTTCATACTTGCATAAACATGAAAACATGACTCTTGCATATATTCTTCCTTATCTACAATGTTAGAGAAAAATCAAGAAATTATATATTTTATATATTATATATTTATATTGAAATTACACATAATGTATCAATAAATATCACGGTTTCAATCTTTGAGTTTGAATCAAAGTTTATCAAAAACTATAATATCTCGCTTGTATACACCATATAAGAGTAAAAAAATGCTCGTTATATCCGTGATGTTTGAGATCAAGTGTATTCAAAAATCCTCGATTAAATCCGGCAAAAGGAGATGCAAGCTCGTGCACAGCTTGCGTTTCGTGTATTTGTGAGATATATAATATAATTGCGATATAAATAATACAATTATTTCTTTCATTTCTTTTTTTTGAATTCTAAAACATGCTCGTTTCATTAATATATTGGCCAACTTTTGACGCCTTTTTGTTTTTAACAATCTTCCTTTTTCTTTTTTTTTTTTATTTTCAAAATACATAGTACATCAAATTTTTATTATGTCAATAGTACATTTAGTATATCAATTTTTTTTTTATGTACGTATAATGCTTATTTATTCTCGAATGATTAAGTTTATATCAACATTAAGCACAATGATTATTTAGTATAATTATTAACTGAAGAACTAACAAATTAGACTAAAGAACAACTTTTTAATTTAAAAAAAAGAATTATGTTCTGCTTTTAATTTTTTCCGTATTTATGTAGACAATTTTATCTTTGTTTTTATTAGCAAATTCACAATTTGATTTTTGTAATTACTTTTACGATACATACATACATATATGTATACATACAATTCTCAAAAACGAAAAAAAAAAATTATCCCAAGCTACCCCACACTTTGTGTGATAAACGAATGCATGATTGTAGTATTACACAATATCCGTGCCGCAAACTGAATCGAGAGAAATGAAATATAAGAAGAAAAGAAAGATCAATATCGCATAGATGTAAAATCTTTATGGATAATTTTGCTATAAGAGCATCTCAATCGTTGCAAGATTTTCTATATATATATATGTGATATTTAAATTAAAAAACTTATATTAATTTAAATTATCCTCCTTTATGTACATATTAATCATTATAAAAAATATCGCGCAAGGAAATCTGTCGGTTTTAAGAAACAGATTTTGTTGTCTTCTGTCTAATAATTATTCATTCGTTAATTAAACATTGTTCAAGCGATCAATAATATTTCATATATACGTATGCATATATATTCTCTTGCAATTTGTTAAAAACATAGTTTTATAGTAAATAAAGAGAATTACAAAAGAAATCGGGTACGTTCTTACGACAAAAAAATACTTTATAATAGTTATTACTTAATAATGTATACATATAGTATGCAAGCAAATGCTTGTAAGACTTTGGTATATTGAATCATATTAAGTATATACATAAAACTAAATGTATAATTAACCGATAGATTTTTTTATGTAATGATATAGATGTAATTTATTACGTAATGTGATATTTCAATCGATAATATTTAAAATTAATTTTAAATTAACTGATAATATTTAAAATTTTAGAAATTGTAGTTTAATTTTCGTACAAGAAAATAATTTTTTATTGTATCAGTATATCGATTAACAAAGAAATTTAACAAAGAAATTAAAGAAGAGATTGCTTGCAATTTTTAATAATTAAAAATATAAATTGTGACATTAACATAATGTTGTTGTTTAGATACATCTAAAACACTAAACTATTATCTTTCATTTAGGTTTTAAAGTTTAAAAATTTAAACAAATGCTAGTCTTTCAAATTTTATCTAAAAAATCTGACCAATTTTATGCGATGTTTCAAGAGATAGATTTCATAGATTAAGACTGATCACTTGTTAAGATTGATCATGATATACGTTTGCAAATATCCAGTATTGGATAACACAACGTGCTGATATGTCATATATCCTATGAGGATATGCCACGTCATATGTTATATTATTAATTATCGTTAGTTTATCTCAACAACTTTTTCAGATTTATTTGCGGAATAACACCGATAGTGCGAAATAAAAGAAAGTTATGGGCGGCAAGGCATTACCATACTTTATATCAGGAACTGTCATCAAGGGCTTCGGTAGAGGCTCTAAAGCGCTTGGCATTCCGACAGGTATCCCTTTTTTCAGAACAAAAATACATTGAACGTCGTTAAAATGCATATCGAAGTCAAAACGTTCTGACCTTCAAGGAAAAAATATGTTGCGCGAAGATTCCTCACATATCAATACTAAATAACGAGATGTATAATGATATGTAGTAATTTATTTCTCTGCTAATTTATCTCTCTGTTGTTAAAAACCGAACTATTTTCACATTTACAATTTTAATATTTGTAATTTTCAATCTTGTTTCTTTACTTATTTTGTAACTGACGTTCGCGTTATATACGTAGTATTACCTTGTTCCAGGTTAGAATTTTTCACATCTACGCTTCCATTCATTTTAAATCAATAGATCTATCTCTTTAAAATTGCACCTCCTGCACTTTGTATCTTTTTTCAAAAGGCTTTTAAAGGTATATATTTTATTCGAAATGCAGAAAAATTATTTTTCCGTGTATCTTTATAATTTTTAATTGAACCTTAATAGCAATTAATCTCTTGTATATTTTATATTTTTAATTAAATATTAAATTGTAGAAAATATCTAAAAAAAAATATATATATATATATCACTCCATGTCCTATCAATGGCGCCGTGTTTAATCCAAATATTGCTATTAATGTTCACAGTTAAAATTTATATTTGGGACTTAATGTATAAAAGAATTAATATTTTTTTTACAATTATATTAGCTAATTTCTCAGAATCTGTAGTCAACGATTTGCCGGAAGATTTAAATACTGGAATTTATTATGGCTGGGCTTCCTTGCATGGGCAAGTTTATAAAATGGTCACCAGTATAGGATGGAATCCTTATTACAAGAATGAGAAAAAGTCAATGGTATGAAAAATAATATTAAGAAGTTGAAATTTTCATTGATTAAATTTCCTCTCAAAGCTATTGTTTTATATCTTATTAATATCATATATTAAAATAGTATATTTAATCGTTTGCAGGAAGTTCATCTGTTACATAAATTCCATGATGACTTTTATGGCAAACAGATCAAAGTAATAATTACTGGATATATACGGCCAGAAAGAGATTTCTCTTCTTTAGGTAAAATAGTGACATAAAATATGTAAATATTATCATTAATCGTCATTCTTGCATAATTTATGATTATTGTATAATTTGTTGTGTTGTTTATTCTTTCAGAGGAACTCGTCAGAGAGATAAAAAATGATATTACAATAGCAGAACAGAAATTAGAAGACCCTATTGTAAATAAATTAAAAAACGATGACTTTTTAATTAATGAAGCAAATGATTGATGATTATGGAAAATGCCATCTTTATCTGCTAAATAATTATAATTATTATTTTTAATTCCACTTTTATCACAAAATACTTATATGTAAACTTGTATTTTATTTACACTCATTTAGAAACTGACATTCTAAACTTACATGAATGTAAAAAAAAATATAAAGACAATATTAAATTAAATTACATTAAAATGACTCTCAATCAATGATTGTTGAATCTGTCGAAGGAGGTGGAGGGGGAGGAGATAAAGATGACCAAGGAGCATGTGTATGCATTGGCGGTCGTGCAGCTGGATAAGGCATATTTAGACATGAAAATGATGCATTGGGAGGTTGAGGATAATTCATTGGAAAGGATGGAAATGTAGAATTGAATCTCGGAGAAGCGCCGAACGGAATCCTCGGATATTGCGATTGCATGTTATTGCACTGAGAATTCGGTGTAGTACCTTGAGAATATTGTTCCGCGTCACTAGAACCATTCGAGAATTGTAATTGTTGTACTGGTGATAAGCCTGATATATTAAATGGCAGTCTGTAATCCGCATGTGGCCCGTTGAACATAGGATGTATGTTTCTCGGGACAGGCGACCAATGCATGTTACTCTGATATTGATATTGCAACCAAGAATCGTTATACGAAGATGGCTTATACTGCGATAGATTAAAGTGACTATTATTTCTCCATGCCTGTTGCTTTTTCTGGTTCTTTCTTTGAAATTTGGCATTTCTGTTCCATGGATTCGACTGCCATTCAGTTGTTGGCTTATTTTGAGTAAAACCTGAAGAACGATCAATGGTAATTGATATTCAGTCATTCAATTAATATTAACAGCTCGAGAAATACTCACTCGATAGACATTGCCGTTTCCGTGATGTACCGGCATCAGAATTATCTTTGTTATTTTTTTGCTTTAACATTTCGTAATAAGCTCGCTCTTCCTCGTCATCCGAAAATTCCGGTAACTCGTCATCATCCATCGCATCATGACTATTCAGTCTGCAGTAAAGATTGTTCATTTAAATATTATGTATACACTGTGTATCATATTTTTTCAAAATACTGACTTATGTAATTCATGCAGGAAGATTAGTGATGTATATTGCGTATTTGGACAATAATAAACTGGCATGCCCACTTTAATATTGTTTTCTTGTATGTGTTCAGAACTATTGAACCGAATACAGTAATTCGGTTCGCTCACAGGACCAAACACATCTAATATTTTACCGAGTGCTCTTCCTCCTTTCTCCATAAATAAAACTGTTTCAATATGGAGCGCAGGCTTATTGGACTTTGGTTTTACAATTACTAATTGTTCCACTATTTTATCTACCTGAATTGGTTAATGACAAAAATGTAACTTTTAAATATGAAAAAAGAATTATAATTGATTTTATGATATTATTTTATCTTATAAACTTCTACATTTCTATAAAATTATGTTTATATATATTTATATATTGCTTACTTCACCCAGAAGCTCACATAAGACTTCAGGAACATTAATTTTTAAATCTTCTATTGGCGGAAGATCATCAAATTCATTTTCTATTTGTTTTTTCTTTTTTACTATGCTTGTTTTATTTCCTTTCTTCTCCCTAAAATATATATATATATATATATATATATATATAATATATAGAAATGATAAACACCTGATATATATATCAGGTGTTTATCATTTCTATATATTAAAAAAAAGATTAAATATATGTATGTCCCCATATAACATCCTTTGTTCAAAAGACATTAACTGAACATCCTGAAGATGTCTTAACGCCCAAAGATACCTTCTGGATATCTTTTGGATATGCATGCTATGTGGGTCATAATTTTATTCTTAGAGAAACATAATAGTACTTGTTGTTATTGGTACTAATATCATCCGAATCGTAGTCGCTGCTGCTACTGTCGCTACTAGTGCTACTGTTGCTACTGCTACTGCTGCTGCTGCTATCACAGCTGCTACTAGAATCATCACTATCAGTTTCCTCGCAAGAAGATAATATATTTTCTTCAATTGCGCGATACTGTTGCAAAGTTTCGGGAACTGGTATAGTATCTTGATTGTTCGATTTGTTTTGATTTTCAGATTTGTCTTGCTCTCCTGATTTGTCTTGCTCTCCTGATTTTTCTTGATTTTCAGATTTGTCTTGTTCTTCAAATTTGTATTGATTTTCAGATTTGTTAGTATCTACTTCGGTTTCCTCCACATCTGAATTAGAATTATCATATTCCAAAGCAATAATGCTAAGAGAAGATATTTTACCATTTTCTGTCAAGCAAATGCAAAATAACTTAATTTTATTGCTTATAAAATAACTTTATTGCAATGTTTGTGTATAGATCAAAATTTGTTAATACTAGACACAATATATGTTTTTACATATATCTAACATTGATTGACACAATATATTTTTATCAATAAGAATCATATTATTAATTACGATTAATTATCAACAACTTTTCTAGTCTTATTCAAAGAATAATATCGATTAGTGTGGAATGAATAGAAATTTTTATCAACAAGTCATTACCGTATTTCATGTCAGAAGCCATTGATAATCGCTCTAAATTCGGCTTTGATACAGTTATTACCTACTATTACACAGTATTATTATCTACTATTACACAGTATTATTATTACATACTGTACATGCACGTGGTGCATGCTTTCAGAGATACAGCGCGTAGCGCAAAGGTACACATTTTATCTTGGAAAAGTGGGAGTAAAAAGCGAGAACATGTGCTACGTGCCAGCTGACAGAGAGAAGACCGACAGATGTCATGGCCTGCTTTTAGGTGATCCCTGAAAGTGATACTCCATCTATGAACATTGAAAACGTGGACATGAACTACTAGTCCAAGAATGTTCTCAGAGGGTAATATATGGGTAGGGTAATGTGCACAATTTCTGGTTTTGTTCCGTGCTATTGTCATATTTAACTATCTTTATTTACAAAATATCTACTGTAAGATAAAAACATTTTTAACTATATTTCTATAAATTTTATTAATTAGCAATAAATTGACTACGATATTTATTTAATTTTTTTCATTATGTAAAAATTTAATTATTAATATATATATGAGTGTAAGCGTACGTGTAAATTTTTATATATATAAATATTTAACGAATTAATCGAACGAATGCATTCCGATTCATCTTTTCGTTTGGTATATATAAATATTTAATTCACTATTCGACTGATTGCGTTCCGACTTGCTTTTTTATTCGATATATATAAATATTACACTTAAGTGTGAGTCCAAGAAGCAGATTTCGGATATTTATTGTAAGTCAGCCGCTCCTCGGGCGATCGGGACGAGATTTAAACGGTAGCGCCGCGAAATGGTGTAGAATTTTATGCAAAAAGAACGAAATCACTATCCCGTCCGGAAGTCAAGATATAAATTGGCCGTTTTTCGTCTGCACATCTGGACGATCGAAATCGTGCACGACGCCGCGCATGTTGCCTGCCTCTCTCGCGCGATATTCACTGTAACGCGGCGAGTAAAATAGCGAACGAATGCATTCCGATTCATCTTTTCAGTCGAATAGTGAATTAAATATTTATATATACCAAACGAAAATATGAATCGGAATGCATTCGTTCGATTAATTCGTTATATATATATATATATATATATATATATATATATATATATATATTTAACGAATTTATATATATAAATTTATATATATACTCGGAATGCATTCGTTCGATTAATTCGTTAAATATTTATATGTATATATATATATATATATATATATATATATATATATATATTTAACGTTGTTAATAATTAAAACACTTCATAATATGAAAGAATACAGTTACATATTTGCATGTTTTATATATTAGATAACATGCAATTTTAATAAATATATTAATTATATATACTCTTGATAATAAAATAAATAGTAAAGACATATATTTGCAAAACATTTTTCAATAAAAATATAGAAGAAATTCTACGCAAAAAAGAAGAGAATTTTTTCATACACAACAATGAATTTACATGATAAAAAAATTAAGTAATATACATTTATTAATTATTTTCTTAATTTTTTCATATAATTCTTTTATATATATCGTATGAAAATTTTGTTGTGTTTGTAAAAGGATGTTTCAATCCTTAAGCACGGATTTTACTTTTCGTCATTAATATAGCTTTTATTAAAAATATTACTATGTAACTTCAGTATAAATAACTACAGTATCTCTCTTAGTCTCACTCTTCCCCTTCGACCTGTCCGGCATAGGTGACCTTACCGGTAACTATTTAGATCGCAAAAATAATTTGATCTCATTTTGACGCAATTTGACTGGCAAAATGACATAGAAATGATTATTTTTACTATCTAAATACATTACCGCCGACATAGCTCTCCGGATCATTAGAGTACTCAAACCTCTTCACCCGGCAAATGCCTTCGTTAAGGTGGAGATACCATCGAAGAGGTATAATTTTTATTATAATTATTTTATTTAAATATAATAAATATAATATTATTTCATAAAATAAAGAGAAATATACAATAATTGAACTATACAGTATAACATAGTTTATAAAATATTATTACAATATATAATAATATTTACAACATATACAATATATTTATATAAGAATTTATAATATTTATATAATTATTTATAATTACAATATATAATTTATAAATATAATTATAATATTTATAAATTAGCACAAAATATCTTATGATACAAAATTACACGAAAATTTCTGAAATGCACACAACATTCATTCAAAATTAAATCAAATGATTTTCAAACAGACGATTCAAATTATTCGTGATATTTATTAATTATCGACTTTTCATTACAAAACTTATTAAGGATTGCGTAATATGAATAAGTTGCAATGAAAAAATCGCCAATACATTATCTATTATATTTCTTCATTAATTATTATATCTTATCATCAATTATATCTTTTAATTACAAAAAGAAAAGTATTTATATTGATACATTTTAAATTTTTAAGTAAGTTTGACACGTGAAAAAATAAGCGAAATTTTGTATAAGCCAACGATCAAGTAAAAAAATAATAATTGCAATTAAATATAAGACGAAAATATCTCGCGGATAATCCGATGATAACAATTCGAAAGATTAAAATAATTTGGCCCGATCGTCAGTTAATATCCGATAGGTAGAAGAACAATATTAAATAGAGAGAGCGACTTTTTTTTAACGTATGTTTTACGTAGAATTCTATCGAGATTGATTCGCGAAGGAAAATTAAATGACTCGTTAAATGTCAAGAGTTCCGCTGCAAAATGGAACGAATCTCAGATTTTCCAGACCACTCCCAATAGCAATGATTTTAACATTTCAATGAATCAATGACAATTATCATCACCATCTTTCATTCACAAGATCGAAATTTACACGAAAAAATGTTCTTCCATTATTTAGAAATGTCTTTTTATTAATAAATAATAAAATTCTTATAATATAACTATTTTTATAGAACTGTGTATGGTTACAAACGAGTATGTTTAAGAATCATGAAACATATGCGCATTTATCGCTTGTTAAATGTACGAGTATAATAATTTTCGGGTACCAACTGTTCGAGACGAGTCGAACCCAATAACAGCAAGATTTTGAAAAATTTCGTATTTAAATATTTCGCGACGTAAAATAAAAAATTATTAATTCTTCTGTAATATATTTAATAATATTTTAATATGTCGATATCTTACTGATATCAGGGTACCCATTCGACTTGCCTCGAATTTTTTAGTACTTGTACATTTCATGTATATTTGTGTGTATTAATATAATATTATTGATATAATATTAACAAAAGAAAAGTTTTATCAAATGTGTCACATTTTGCGCATATATTTCCTGCATGTAAAATATCTAACAAATTTTCTATATAAAATATCAAGCGAATTATACTTAAAAATTAATATTAATGGCTTAAAATGGCAGGATGTCCAACACCTAGAAATAATCTCTCAAAAGAGATCAAAAGTAAAGTTAATTAAAAATCAATTAATAAAACGTATTCGTTCGTAACCATATATTTTGTTAAAAAAAGTTCAGAGATGAACAAATAAATTACAATTTAAATTTACCTATTTGGTAAATTAATATTTATCTCTATAATATATATAAATTAATATTTATCTCTATAATAGCTATATCCATGCTCAATGCTTTACTACTAACAATAAGTCTTTTTCAAAGCGATAAAAAATTTTTAAACCGATATCAATATTAAGAATAATAATAACAGAAGAAGATTTAATAAAAGAAGAAAAAATTCTTTATTCAAAGTATATTATTTAATTATAATTTCGTGATTCGACTTTTAAAAAATCTGTCGTTAACTCATTGTTAAAACCATTGCTTCCAGGAACTGTCGAAAAAACCTAGGTTTAATTCCAGCTCTGCAACGAAAACCCCTAATTATCAACGAAACATTGAATTCGTTGTAGATTAATTGTTCAAGAACCGATGAGAAATTATATTTCTGCAATAAAGATCAGTTCTTCAATAGTACGAACCGCGTTAGTATTTACACGAAAGACAATAAGATAGCAATCGCGCCTCAAACCAAAAGGACGAAAAAAAACGCGATGTTTGTAATATTAATTATACATTTATTTATAACAAATATTATTCATTTATTGAACAAATATTTAATTTCAATTTGCAAATTCACGAATATATTTAATTGACAAAATCCCGAACTTCTAAATAATTTTGTCAAATTGCGATTTTGCATTATCGAAAGAGCAAGTATTAAATTTCGCGAGTGAGAAATTAATATTGCATCGTTGGCTTAATATCAAATCACATACATTATTTAATCATTTTTATGTTACGCATTATAATAATTAAAAAGATAATTGAAACTACGAAATTTGAAAATAAAAATTTTCCGTATTTATTAACTTTAATATCAAAAACAGACTATTAAATTCTAGAATAATTTTAAAATAAAATATCTAACAGACAACGAGTATTTATTATTGGATATATATTAATTTTGTAAACTTTGCGTTATTTATTATGTGCATTTTTTTCAATTTCGTGCAATTAATATAATTTACAATATGTAATTATATTATTTAGAGATAATATAGATAACAATATTATTATAATGTTACGTTATTATAATATTACATTATTGTATCATTACAATACATAAATTACAATAAATTGATTATATACATAGTATAGATGTAGAATATAAATTACAATGATGCTATCTCTATCAAACAAGTTGATATCAGTTGCAAATTTGCACAAAAATGTTCCAAAATAAGTACGTCTTTTATTGCTTAAATTGATAAATGATAATATTTTATCAAATCGAATATATATATATACATACCTACAAACTGTAAGTTTAAAAAAAAATAAGAAGTTATTTATGTTCTAATATATAATTTAGCTTTATTTAATATCTTAATTATCGGCATTATTAGATAATGATAGCATTTACATTTGAAATTAACATTATATAAAATGTTTATGACATACAATATTTACTATATTATATTTATTTTTATATATACGAATTATATAATTAATTAATATAATTAATATAATTAATATAATTAATATAATTAATATAATTAATATAATTAATAATATAATTCGTATATATAAAAACGCAATTTACAACATAATCAAATTATTAAACATCCACATTACATGTAACTCACATTATATATGCAATGTGAATATTTATTAAAAAATCAAGAATGATGTCAAACATTATACATCAATTTTGATTGTACAGCTTTTTCAGAGTACAATTAATATACAATTTTACATAATATAATATAC